ATTAATTATATTATTTTTGTTTATTAGTTTGTTTTATATTTATTAGTACGTGTCACAACTTAGTTATTTTTCATATTATTTCTTATATTTAATATTCTTTTAAAACTTTATCTTGTTTTTTCACATGTTCTTAACTGTAGATTTGTCAAATAACACATAATATAAAGTATAGATTTTTTTCGATCATCTGTCTCATTATATATCAAATATTTGTATATCCTATATTATATTATATTTAATTATAATTTTAAATAATAATTTAGTTAAATATTTACAAATCATAAATTCATTAATAATATTGTCGAGTCAACTTTTGTTCATAAAGTTTTACAAATATGTTATATTTATTGATTTACTTATGTTGAATTGAAAAAAGTTATGTTTTTTAATTATATATAGGGAGGATATAAGATTTTTTATATTTTTTTATGTAGTATTTATTGAATAATTGTGTTTACAATTTTTCTATTAAAAATATATTAAACACGTGAACTTTTTAGTTCCTATATTTTTTTTTTCAGAAATCACTCATTATTTTATCCCAAGATTACCTATTAATTTACCAATTGAGTTATATTTCTTACATATTAAATATTATATAATTAAAATATTTCTTGTTTTATCTGTTCAATATGATACTTATTTATTATATTAAAAAAACTAATATAGTAAATAAAAAATTTATTTAAAATTAGAATAATAAAGATTTTTTTTTTCTAATCTACATGTATAAATGTACAAATATCTATTGTCTATCACCTCAAATTTACACATAAAATTAATTAGAACAAAAAACTAACAAGCGTTTAACAACTCAGTTCGATTACATCGATAAGTATATTTTTAGAAGGTTTATATTTAGTTATATTAATTATATTATTTTTGTTTATTAGTTTCTTTTATACTTATTAGTACGTTTCACCACTTAGTTATTATTCATATTATTTCTTATATTTAATATTTTTCTAAAACTTTATAATCTTGTTTTTTCACATGTTCTTAACTGTAGATTTGTCAAAAAGACATAATATAAAGTATAGAATTTTTTTGATCATCTGCCTCATTATATATCAAATATTTGTATATCCTATATTAAATTATATTTAATTACAATTTCTTAATTAAATATTGACAATTCATAAATTCATTAATGTTATTGTCGAGTCAACTTTTGTTCATAAAATTTTTAAAAATATATTATTTTCATTGATTTGCTTATATTGAATTGAGAAAAGTTATGTTTTTTAATTATATATAGGTAGGATATAAGATTTTTTTTATCTTTTTTTATGTAGTATTTATTGAATAATTGTGTTTCCAATTTTTCTATTAAAAATATATTAGTAAACTTTTTAGTTCCTATATTTTTTTTTTTCAATAAATCACTCATTATTTTATCTCAAGATTACCTATTAATTTACAAATTGAGTTACATTTCTTACATATTAAGTATTATATAATTGAAATATTTCTTGTTTTATCTGTTCAATATCATACTTATATATTATATTAAAAAAACTGTTATAGTGAATAAAAAAGTTATTTAAAATTAGAATAATAAAGATTTTTTTTTTTCTAATCTACATGTATAAATGTACAAATAACTATTGTCTATCACATCAAATTTACACATAAAATTAATAAGAACAAAAAACTAACAAGCGTTTAACAATTCAGTTCGATTAGATCGATAAGTACATTCTTAGAAAGTTTATACTTACTTATATTAATTATATTATTTTTGTTTATTAGTTTGTTTTATATTTATTAGTACGTGTCACAATTTAGTTATTATTCATATTATTTCTTATATTTAATATTTTTCTAAACCTTTATCTTGTTATTTCACATGTTCTTAACTGTAGATTTGTCAAAAAAACATAATATAAAGTATAGAATTTTTTCGATCATCTGCCTCATTATATATCAAATATTTGTATATTCTATATTATATTGTATATGATTACAATTTTGTAATTAATATTTTAATTATATATTTACAAGTCATAAATTCATTAATAATATTGTCGAGTCAAATTTTGTTCATAAAATTTTTAAAAATATATTATTTTCATTGATTTGCTTAATTATGTTGAATTGAGAAAAGATGTTTTTTTTTTTTTAATTATATATAGGGAGGATATAAGATAAGATGACATTAGTATATTACCAATTTGTCATTAAAAACATGTGAAAGTAAGAGTTTTTAGGTAGTTCATTTTTTAATTAAAAATATAAATAAAATATAATGTGTATTAGTGTATTACTATTTTGTCATTAAATTTATGTCTAAGTAAGGGTTTTTTAGGCATTATGAATTTTTACAAAAACACTCCTCCTTTTAAAGTAGTATAGATATAGATATAGATAGATAGGACCTCTATACGGTTAATGATCCAATGAGGAAATAAGGGTAGAAATAAAGGAAAAATGGAGAAAAAATGTCGGGTATTAGAGAGAGAAAAAATGACGGAGAAAAAAATGAGAGAAGCGTAAAAAGACATTAATAATGGGCTTGACCTCCCAACTACCCATATGGGCTATTATTAATTGGGCCGGGCCAGGTCGGGGCGGGATGGGGCAGGGCGAGACGAGTGAGGGCAGGGCGAATATCAATACCCGGACCTGCCCCGTATAGTGATGGGGCGGACCCAACCTGGCCCGTTTTGGGTAACAGAGCAGGTCCAACCGACCCCAAAGAATGCAGCTGGGTCAGTTCGAGTCGGGTTATATTTCCATCACTATATTATAAGTAGAAAAATAATCCCAATGAAATTGAGACGTTGGATATTCTACTCAAACATTAGTCAAGAAACGTTTGCAAGATATCCAAATCAATATTAAAAAGAATACAAATGATCTCAACTGCTGTCAAATATATTAATCTAAAGTTTTAAAGGTCCATGAGTTAGATTTCAAGACAGCTCTCGTCTACCGTATGCATGTTACCATGCTGCTTTTCCCTCTTGAGCGCCTTGAATTTTTCGGCAAGCTCATCGTAATCCGGAAGCTTTGGGTGGATATGGCGACACGGGAATGGGATTATGCTCATGATGTTGCCATCTTCGAAACTCGGTTTTGGCCTTTCACAAGGCATACTCACCACAGTTCTTAACCCTTGCCACTCAATTCCAATCTCTTCTCCTTCCTTTTCACTCGGCATTTGAAAGTCCTCATCGCTATAGTAATCTTGTCCGGGGAACTTGTTTATATTATTATTATTATAAATTTCAGGCCACCCGTAACATTCTTTCTCGTTCACGAAAAGCCTGAACACAAACAATCTCTGGTCTTTGGCAGGCGAAACAAACTCCTCCACATCATCTTTATGGTGGGCCCCACATCGAGGAGTCACAAAATTATTGTCCCCGTCATCCGACTTGTCGTACTCGAGGAGCAGAGGTCCTTGCTGCATGCAATCGCTTGCTATTTCTGCCAACAATCTGTACTTGGAGGAGTCCTCTGTAACCTTTTTCCTCAACAAATGATAATCTTTTATCTGCAGCACAAGGAAATTATCACAACAGTAGAGACTAAATAAAAAATAAAGCTGATAATGATAGTACCTGAAGGTTGACGAGGTTCCCCGGAAGTAATTCGAGTGCGGTTTTCACAAATCTTTGGCCGTAGCATTCGCCCAGTAGCTTCCTAATCGGCATCAGCTCCGGAAGCTCAGCAAACCTTGCCGACGAGTAAATCAGAGTCGACGCTGCTTCATTTATGTCGTTCGGGCAGTCCCTGATCAATTTCACTCTCTGTAATTAACAAAACATTGCAACAAACAAATATTACCTATACAAAACACAAGTGATATATATACATATACCTGCATTTGCGAATGTAAGGAAAACGAAAGATTAGGCACTCGCAATACAAGTCGAGCAGATCATACACTTGGATCAGACTCTCGTCCCTCATCACCTGCTCAACCTGAAAATCCGTCCGTACAAAGAAAAAATATCTAAAAACATTAGGCATATTAATTCACATAACCCGATTTAATAATCGAATAAGTGAGAATCGAAAAAATCGAGCAGTAGGGACCCTTCGGAAGGCAATTTGGTGATGGCCATGTTTGAGAAGCTGAGCGACATCGTCTCTCGACTGCCTCGACACGCAGCTTCTCTTGTTCTTCACCAACTTCAGCCGGCAGCGGGCCATTTTTATCAGTTTCTTGCTGTAACAAAGTATATAAATGAAATGAATTAAAATGGAGAACAAAATATGTCAATGTGATAGTGTACTGTCTTACCATTTTGAAGCCTTTCGCCACCCAAATAATATATCAAACATTTCTTGGTAAAAAATGAACAATTACTTAGTATTATTTTTTTAGCTACAGAAAGAAAGTATTAGTTGAGAGTGTTTATATATACTTAATAATAATTTTGAGGCAGTTATTTTAGAAGATGATCATATAGTGGAAGCTCAGTATTGGGTAGTTACTGCTCCACTAACACCCCCATGTAATTTAATCACGACCGTCCCTCTCTTTTTTTTTCTTTTTTTTTTTCCTTTAATGTAACTAATATTAATTTAGTGTTTTTAAAACACTATTTTAAATATTCATGTATTAAAAAAATTATTTTGGAGTCGTATAAAAATGTTTCATAGGAAAATAAAAATAAAAATAAAAATAAAAAATAGCATTCCACGTAAGTTTTTTAGTGTGTCATATAAGCCATCATTTAGCAAATATTATTTCTAATCAAAGTTTTATTAATAATCTATCACTTAGCAAATATTATTTCTTTCAAGTTTCAGCAACAAAAAGTAAATGTTCGGAAACCAAACAATGCTTTCTTGTTTACTTCCTTTATCCTGTTTGTTGAAGGTGGGTGGCTTAAATTACATGGTAAACCGCTTGGTGCACCCAAATTTTAAATAATGTATTTTCATTAATATGTAACATATTTAGATATTTTTAGGCAAATTTATCATTTTCCTATATATGAACGGATAAGTGAAATTATTTAGATATTTTTTGTCAAATATATCTCATGCATATATGAAACGTAAGTATTACCCTTAGAATTAATGCATTCAACAGTGTTAGAACACAAATTATTTGTAACTTTTAAATTTATGTAGCAACATCAGAATTTATCGAAATAGCGAAAGCAAAAAACAAGAGATATAAACTCTTTGGGAAGTTTCTCACTATCCCTCAGTGATCTTTCAATGATAAACCGATCGTGCACAAGTGTATAGTTTGGACTTACAAAAACTAGAACTCTCTTCTAGTCTAGCTAGAACTACAATTGATTCTACCAACTACTTCTCTGACCACGTCTCTTGATTTCAGACACTCGAATCCCTCAAGAAAAACACATTATTTAATCCCTAAGTAATTGAGACAAATTGTCTGCATGAAATATGAAAACTAAGACAAAATGAGTTTAGTTCCTCGACATTGAAAGAACATCGAATTGCTGAGCTGCGAACTAAAAGAGGAACAAAAATCGAACACTCAATTTAGTGAGAATTATGCATGAATAATGATAATCTCAACAGCGTTCATTTGATCTTCGAGTAGGGTTTAAAACAGACTCCTTAGGCGTGAAGTCTTCTCCAAGTAAGATGCCTTCCTTTTCGATTTCCTTCCAAGAATATAGGATGAAACATGGTAGGTGTAGATCTCATTTTCTCTCTCTCCAAGATCTTCACTTCATGCATGCTTCTCTCCTTGTCTACGCATATCCGATTTCCTAAAATAAAATATCATAATAAGATCATGCAAATTTTTCCTAAATATATATATATATATATATATAACCAAAATATAAACAAATCTGAAAAAAATATAATACAAATAAAAGAACTTCCCTTTTACTCCACATGCTTACAAGAACACATCTTCGATATATTATTTTTGAACTTGTTGCCAAAAATAAATCTTTCAATCTTGCCCTTTGGAATTTAGTTTGAAAACCATAATGAATATAGACCTGTAACAATGTTAGAACAACAGGCAAAAATATACAAAATAGTATTCAAGGGTCAATTCACTGCAGTAAGGATCACTGTGTGATATGGTCCTACTATCGTGCACCGGTTCAGTAACTGCGACATTACCGCGATTGG